TGCTGGGGCAGCAAATCTGTAAGGCATTGTAACATCGACAGCGGTCTGCTGCAGCCCGCACTACTGCGTGTGGGTATGGAGAGATTCCTCCCATCTGCTGGCGGGTCGTCAGCTGCCGGCTTGAGGCCATGTGGCGAACCCACGTGCCAGCAAAAGTCTCAACTCGTGTCAGCGGTTCACCAGTGCCCGTACGGGCGATCCATGCACGCGTTTTGTGGTCGGGGCATCGGAGAGGAAGGCTACGGACAGCAGAGAGAGTGCTCGGATTGCCAGAAGAGCAAAGGTGGAGACCAGGCTGGCAGCAGCAGCAGTCCCATGGAAGTGGTCAAGAAGATGTCCTTGCCGGAGAGTGCCAAGGACTTGGACGCTAGGTCCATGCCGCGAGTGTTGTCGGACAACTTGTTCGTCGAGAGCACCTCCGGCCTCACTGAACAAGAAGTGCGGAGCGCAGTGAGCACGTCGCTTAGTGTAGAGGACGATGAAGAGGTCTTTAGGGAAGAGGTAGAACTCGAGATGGAAGAGGTAACACGGAGAACATGTCAAGAGTACACGTCGAAGACGACGTGTCCAGTGAAGAGGAAGACCAGGACGGTAGGCAAGAGTCGTGCATGACATCTACGATTTCAGAGGCCGAGGTTCGCTCTCGTCTCGAGGATGTCCGCTCCTATTTGTACGCGAACGGAAGAGACGGCGAGTACAGCGAAACGGTGTACCTTCTTTCGAAGACTGTGCATTCGTTCACTCATGAAACTCAAGTCAAGCGAAGAACGAAGGAGGGGGGTGAGGTGCAGGCGACTCTTCGGGATGTGTGGGCGACGTAGTTTTTGGTGTTTGAGGACAACACACTTGGCAGCCCACATTCATTGTTTGGGATTTTTTTGCCTTTCTCGTGGAGTTAAATTTTGGCATTTTTTGTTTTGTGTTTTTGCCTCGTGTTGACCTTTGGGGAAGAGCGGTGTTCTCTTTTCGGTGGGTTTGCCCGATTTTTTGTATGTTGTGGTCTGCGCTACCGACCGTTTCCTAGTGTCCCTCAGATCCCTCTAAGGGGTCGACTGGGTTTGTTTGGTCCCTATGTGGCAGGTAACTTGCGTGTATCGTATCAGAGCTATAGTTCCAACAAACTGATGTGTCTCAGGTGTGTTCGTAATATCACGGGCATGATGTTCACCGTGAGGACAACGCCTTGACAATAAGAAAAGCCTACAACAACACCAGCGCACACTGCCGTACACATTACAATAGGTCGTGCTGTACTCCTTCCCGCGTTTCGGTGGTGGAGGGAAATTCAAAAATGTGTACAGTATTGGAGTACAGCAGCAGTAGTGTTGCGGCCTTCAATTGACGTGTTGTCGCAGTTTTTAAGCAGCACAATTTCGTGGTCGCATTCCTGCTTCAAATGCGCGTATTCTGACACATGTTACACCTCCATTGACCCCGGGGACGGTGAGTTAGTGGCCCCGGAATCCTAAAGACACTTCCCCGCGTTAAAGACACTCCAAAAAAAAAAACGCGGTGTGTCATTAAAGCGGGGTCGACTGTATTTATTCTCCTTATTTCTTCTGAAAGAGAGCATTTCAAATCTGCAATTTTTCTCGCGGGGTTCGCCGTAGTTGTTGAGATATGGCGATTCTTGTGGGATGAAGTGCCTTCTGCATTGATGGTAATGGAGCCATATCTTTCTCAAAAACGAAAACCCCGCGCTGTGGATAGTCGTATTCGATCGCTGCTGGCAAGAGCTTTCTCACGAATATGTTGGTTCCGCTCAATTCGTTGAAGAAGGTTATTTTTTTTCAAAGCACCCATATTCGGGTTCACACTTTCCGGCGATGTAGCCTCGCGCAATCTTCCTGGAGATGTGTTGGACGCAGTGAAGGAGGTGCACCAGCACGAAGAGGTCTGGGGACCAGCGTTCCTCAAGCGCCAGAGCAACAGGGGTGTGGGCAGAAAAGAGGCTCTTCGCAAACTGGCGAAGCATCGATCGCAGCTAGAAAAGGCCGCCGCAGCATCCGCTGCATGTAGATCGGGCTGGGAACGGGGACAGCACCGTCATCAAGGAATGCCAATCCGCTGTCTCAGCCACATCTGCTTGACTCAATGTAAGAGATGTTGGTGCCACAATGTACACGATACAACAGTGTAATGTTTGCATACGATGATTGTAGTTTTCCTCCTGCAAGACTGCTGTTGGTTATGAACTATGTGGTTGTCGCAATGCTGCTGCTGCTGCTGCTGCTGCTGCTGCCGTATATATTTGATGCGATGCAGCCCATGTACATGTAGACTAGGTGAAGTTTCGGGTTACTGCTGTTGACCCGCAAGAACCACTCTGCCCCCACCCTCCTCTTTCTTCCCCCCTGCTTGTCCCGGTCATCGTACCATTTTTTTGCCCCCTTTCCTACGNGGTTGTCGCAATGCTGCTGCTGTTGCTGCTGCTGCCGTATATATTTGATGCGATGCAGCCCATGTACATGTAGGTGAAGTTTCGCGTTACTGTTGGGCCGCAAGAACCACTCTGCCCCCACCCTCCTCTTTCTTCCCCGCTGCTTGTCCCGATCATCTTACCATGTTTTTGCTCCCTTTCCTACCTTACGTACATGCAGGAGTCTGTTCTCGTCTCGCACGCGCAAGCCGGCAGCCTGCAGTTCAAGGCCTTGGCTCTGAAAGCAGTGTACCGCAAGCTGCTCAAGGGGGCGCCCAAGAGGCAAGCTTTCGAGGACACCGCGGAGTTTTCTGGGGTGGCGGACAGCACCCTCCGTGAGTGGGAGCTTTCCTACCGCACCAAGGGCCATATCCAGGTGAGAGGAGATATGTTCCATCCGTTTTAACCGCAATCAAAGGTGCGCGTGCCGTAGACTTAAAAAGACTGTGTGGGACGAAAATAAATGCACTGCTGTAGCTCAACAAAGTCGCCGGCCGTTGCTGTGAAAGATGCTCCCTCCTGTAAGGCATGCGCTATTGCTCTCTCTCCATCCCGCACCCGTGTATGCTTTTAAGCCACCCTTTCCCTTTTTCTCGAAAACGCGGTGTCCTTTTTCGTGTGCAACCTCATGTATTTGAAGGTGGACCAGAAGGGGACACACGAACGGCGGTGGATCCTGAGCTTGGACGAGGGTCTTCTCGTGGTGGTTCGCCAATGGGTCCGCATCAACTCTACCAAGAAAGGGAGCCCAACATGACAGCTGATAGCTTCCGCGAGTACCTCAACACGGTCATCTTGCCAGAGGTAGCAGAAACCAAGACGGCCGACTACGACCCTTTCAGCCACGCGCCTATCACCACGACGACGCACGAAACAGCATCAATCAGGAGAGAGTGGTGTCGTACTCGGTCACCGATCGCACGGCGCGATCCTGGCTGCGCAAGCTGGGGTGCGAGTACCGCGATCGCAGGTCGGGCCTCTACATCGACGGCCATGACCGTGAAGACGTGCTCGAGTACCCGGTCGAGAAGTAACTCCCAGCGTACTTCGAGCACCGCGACTACATGGAGATCTGGATCGACGCGACTTCGGGCGAAGCGCGTTCCTGGGAGGTGCAAGTGCAGGAGCAGGACAGGCAAGAGGATGGGCGTGTTTGAGTTTGCGTGCATGCCTCCAAGGAGACGCTCTTCGAGCTTCTTCAACATCTCCGCGAGAGGGTCACCAGCAAGCAAACGTATTCTGATGGCAGGAGAGCGATATTCTGCTCCAGGACGAGTGCATCTACAGGGTTAACGACGGCCAGCGGTACGCGTGGGTGCCATCCAACTTTCACGCGCTTAAGAAGAACGGAAACGGTCAAGGCATTATGATCTCTGGAACCATCGTGGACAACGTAGGGTTCGTTGCGGGTGACCAGGCAGACATTGGTGGGATACTTCGGCAGCGAAACGGCAGGCGACCCCACCAAGCCAGAGAGGTATCGCAAGATCGACATGCTCTACAAGGACGACGACGGCAAGTTTTGGGCCTTTTTCAAGTTCGAGTACGGCAACGGAAAGGACGGCTACTGGACGGGCGCGAAGATGGTTGATCACATGGTAGATGTGCTGGACCTCTTGGCGGTGAATTATCCGATGCACAAGCCCCATCTGCTTTTTTGACTGGTCATCTTGCCACGACTGTGTCGAAGACGGGGCACCGAGCGCAACTCGCATGAACGCTGGGTACGGGGGGGGTGAGGAAGGGTGCCCAGCTACTGTAGCCCTCTGTACCTCAATACCCTAAAAGGGAACTATATTCAATTTTTTCAAATGTGAACTATATTTCGGACCAGAGTCAATATTTTTTTTGTAGGGGGACAGTGGTTGTTTTCGCGGCGCCCCACGCGCCCCTGCGCTGCCGCGGGCTGCGCTATACCCACTGCTGCTGCACTGCTGTACCGCCACACATCGCGGAGAAATAAGAAAATATGAAAAATAAGAAAAAAAGAAGGATGCGACAGCCCAAAGAAATGAAGAAATCTGTTTTAAGAAAATGGACGACTTCGGCTGGTCCTTCGACTCAAAATAATGGGGGGTTGAGACTAGACCCGATTTTGACGTTCCTTATCTCTGGGCCCGTTCTGTACCACATGCCACACAGACAGTAGTGTTAACCTCCAACACAGCATGTGTTATTCCCATTCAAGACTGGGGGACAATACAAAAGTCAAGCGACCAAACAGAGAGCCAGAGTGGTCTAGTCCGTGCGAAGCAGAAAAAAAACAGCGAGTCACCTTGGCTGAAAACTGGTAGCATAAACAACGCATGCTTGTACGCTCTACCTCTGCACGAAGAGACAACGCACGTGAACCACGATGTCGTGAGCCCCGTTGCTCAAGCACTCTCAGTCACTTGCTCACTGCTGTCGTTGTTTTCAAGCGGTTGTAAACGAACGTACACTGGTGTGGCATCTGTGGTGATTGTTGTCTCCACCACATGACACACCGATCGTCAGAAGCACGTTGCTCGCAGCCCAGACAAAGCCGGAGGAGCCCCCCGGGGACTAAGAGGCATTCGCGTGTATCAGCTTTCGAGACCCAGATACGTGGTTTCCAGAGGTGGCCTGCGAAACCAGCACAACAATAAATAGGGTGACAAGGTCAATCCTGGCATTTCGCAAAGGATATATGTCCCGAACAGCTGCCAACATTTGTACACGTAGGACACAACACCTGCCTCTGGGAATGATTACTCTCGTTAACGACAAAAACCACGTTGAACGCAACTACGCTCAGCCTTGAAGTGCGTGTTGAATGCTTCTGGCAGCATGTTAGAGCGTCCGCCACATACCTGACCAAGGTTTTTGATGAGACCCACACCATGGAGCTGTACGAGAACCCGCTGCGCAAGATTCAACTGCGTCACATCTAGGAGATCGAGCGCACCCGCGCTTGCTGGCTTTCTCCGAGCGGCTGTAACGTCTGGTTTGCGTCGCACGTCGCTTGTATGAACGCTTTCCTCCACACTAGGGACAACAAGTGCGCGAACCAGGCGCTGTCTTAGGACTTCTGCATCATCCTCGACTCGGTCGCCTCGAACGCCTGCAACATAAGAACATACGTAAAATTTGCAAAGGACGCCTTCGGCTCAAGACATCACTTAATAAATATCAGAGATACATCCCAAAAATTTCAGGCAAGCGACCAAAACACCTCAATAACCCTCTCTAGCCATACCGGTATCAAACGTTGCCTTCGCTGCTGGCTCCGACGAGCGCAGCGAAGTGACCGGATTTCGCCCAAGGCAGTCCTCTGCTTCATGGGTTGTATCTTGTGATGGCGGCTGTTTCCCGGAGGTCGGGGAAAAGTTGTCCAAATCTTCCAACCAAACCTGCCTGTCGGCCACGGCGGATATTCCATCGTTCTTCTTGTCGACCTGTTCGTCAATAACTCCCTCCGAAACACTGGTTATTGAGCTTGTCCCCACGACGACGGCTAGGTCTGCTTTGGGGGCGGGGGGTTTGCTTCGTTTGGTTGGTTTGTCGACCTCTGGTCTGCCGGATGACCGTTTTTTCACATTCTTGGAGTGATCATAGCTCGGTGCCCACTTTTGGTTTACGTGCGCAACAAGCTGTTTTTCCGCCCGTCGCTTGGCCCCCTTGCACTTTACGCTAACGCGAACTTCACGCAGTCGAGCTCTCCCCGCCCCCATAGGTCCTCGCGAGTCTTCTCTTTCTTCGTCTCCCGCGGCCGCTGGAATAGCCCCCACCGCAGCGAAGGCTCCTGACGAGAGGTTTAACCCGTACACGGCAGAGGCCCATTTCTCCAATCCGGCCTTGTGCTCTCTGAGAAAACGTTTCTGGTGTCCCAATACACCTAGAGCCCGCTGCGATGGTGCGAAACGAAGGGAACCTCCAGTTAAACATGCCCTATGCATGAGTGGGCAGCATTGCCTGCTGCATTCATCATCGGGAACAGATATTCCTTCGCCTCATAAAAACTGTTGGAAAGACTTGGGCGAAGCCAAATGAGCGGCAGCCCTTAGATGCCTTCTTTCGCGTCTCACCTCCAACTCGCGGATGGCATCTGCCTCTTCTCTATCACTCAGCGCGCCCCCCTGCAGTAGCCGACTATGTGTGGAGAAATACAGCGGCATTGAGGAAAGAGAACACTTTGGCGAAGTAGAAGCGTGTGGGTGCTTTTGTTCGTTTGGGGGGGAACCAACAGACGCATCAAGCAGAAAGGGTCCAAAAGTGCAGACGGTACGTTTAACATGAACCAGACCGAGCTCTGGATGGTGAGGATAAGGGACACAACACCGTCCCTATGGCGACAGGTGGGCGTCATCATCCACGCGAGAGAATGTAGCCAACAAATTGGAAACGGTGTTAGCCTCCGATTCTTCCTTCGCGGCGAGAAAAATGATCGTTGTACTATTCGCCTAGACCTGTTGATCTTCTTGAAGGCCGAAACACCAGAGAGTTTGAGCTGAGGTGCAGTTGGCTCTGGCTTGCCGAACGGGAAGAACACGGGTGCGGTATAGCCAGGCGGTTCCCGACTCTCGATCACAGGGGTCGAAGGAGCCACCACAGGAGCAGTAGCAATCATTGGGGCGGGAGGAATGACGAGGGCTGGAGGGACGCGTTCGTCCAGCAGCTCGAACAAATCTTCTCCCCCTGATATTCAGAGACACGCGTCATCCACACGCGATGAGCTAGATTAACCAAGTTATGCCAGGTGCAATGCATGATGTGCGTCCAGGGTGGCGGATACATCCATTAAGTAATGAACACGCTCTTAGTTCCACCGGCCCAGAGTCATCACTGTTGTGAGGGGGAGTAGTTCGGAACTCTGTGGGAGATAGTGCCGCCGCATTTCCGTGGCCACCCTTGGCCGTGCTGTGACATAAAACTAACAAACGAGCAGCAGGCGGTGTGAGTTTTGCAATCGCTTTAAGTGCCTGCACCACAAGCACACGGGCGTTTCCACACAATTTATTCCTTTAGAATGATTTCCTTGTCAAGCGTCGCATTACCCCTCCCCACTGTCACAACATCCTCCCCAGGTGTTTGTCGTGGGGGTTGGGTTTTCGTCGCTTGGCAACGACGTTGTAAAACAAGCCGCCCCCCCCGGTGTTTGCCACCGGGGTTGGGTTTTCGTCGCTTGGCAACGACGTTGTAAAACAAGCCGCCCCCCCCGGTGTTTGCCACCGGGGTTGGGTTTTCGTCGCTTGGCAACGACGTTGTAAAACAAGCCGCCACCCTCGAGGCAGTTACACAGTGCTTACAAC